GTTGAAATATGGCAGATGGCTGGGGCTGGGACTCTGCCCACCATGGAGGAAAGACACTGTCTGTCAGGGACAAGGGGAGGAGGTGGGGACTCTGGCCGACTGGGAGAGTGATAGAGAACTGGGCTAGGGTGAGGGCCAGAGCAGGGCCGTGTGCCAGACAGAACTTGCTGGAGAAACAACCGTAGGTGATCTGTATGAGTATGTCATATCATCTGATGCTCTCCACATGCACCTGTGGCCTAATCACCCACAGATAATCCACCCGCAGAACATCATACGTGTATGGTGTTACATGATGACATATATCTCATGGTGTTGCCCAGCCAGCTCCAGCTCACGGAGACCCATCGGTGTCACCGTAGGACTACTCTACAGGGTTTTCAAGGCTGCACCCATTGGGAAGCAGATTGCCAAAGGGCGGGTTTGAACTTCCAACTGTTCAGTCCATAGTCAAGCAGGTTCATGAATCCCGCCATCCAGGGATTCCGATTAAATCGTCCTGCCAAACTCACTGCTACAGAGACTATTTCAACTCCCTGTCTCTTTGGGTTTCTGAGTCTAAATCTTTACGCGAGTAGTCACAGACAGCCTTCTTTTTCTTCTGAAGAACGGCTGGCGGGTTCGAACCACTGACCTTCTGGTTAGCAGTACGTAGCCCACCATGCCACCAGGGCTTCTTAGAGGCTTAGAGTGATCGTAGCATCCTAGTGAAAGAATGAGGCAGTAGGAGAGCAGAGAAGGAGGTGTGGAAAGAAAGGGAAATGGGGCGACAAGCCAGAGAATGCGGGTAGTCTTAAAAAAACAAACACTTCTGACTCACGAATCCCATCGGACTGAATAGAACTACCCTATGGGGTTTCCAAGGTTGTAGATTTTATAGATGCCCTGGCTACCTGGAGCGACTGTTGGACTTGAACCAACGGTCTTCAGGAGGGACCCCCCACTGGGGACTCCTAGCCCCAGCAGGGTGAGGGAAGGAACGCGTGTTGGAAGCCGGGACGTCAGGGGTCAGTTGTTATACTGGAAGGCTCGCTGCCTGGTCCCCGCCCACACCGGGGCCTCCCACGGGCGGCCTTGTTCTGCGTGGCTGAGGCCGCCCTCCCGTCTCGGCCGCTCGACAGCTGCCGGTGGAGCTCATGCTGCTCCTCACCGTGCCCGTCGTGGACCCAGACAAGGAGGACCGGAACTGGACACGGCCCCTCAACTGCCTGCACCTGCTGACTAGCCCTCTGCTCTGTGTGCTGACCCTGCAGTCGGGGGCCTGTGAGTACCCCCTCCCCGCCACTGCCTGACCCTGCCTAGACCTTTCTTCTCAACCGTACCAGGGGGCCCTGGGTCAGGAGCAGGATCCTGGATGTATCCACGCCCAGACCCGCACCCATCCTCTCCTCCACTCCCGCCCCGCCCCCATCCCCAAGCTGCTCACCTTCATCATGGGTCAGCAAACCCATCCCCACCCCCACCCCACCCCATCAAGTTGCTTCTGGCTTCCTAGCCATGCTAGAGGGCAGACTAGGACTGCCCCGGAGGATTCCCAAGGAAATCTTGGTAGACTACCATGGTGTTCTCCCTCGGTCCGGCTGCTGGATTTGAACCATCCACCTTTTGGTGGACAGCTAAGCCATGGCGGCCCCTGGGCTCCTTCCCAAGATATACCGTAGGGGCCCAGTGGCGAACAGCTGTTCAGCTGGTCCACAGGCAGTCCCAGATGGAGGCAACCTGGTAGTCCTCCAAGCAGGCCCTCCGTCAGGCTTATCGGCCTTGATGCAGTCTCTAGGGTTTGATGTTACAATGCACACATACAACACACATCTACACTACACAC